ATTGTTTGCCAAATCGTGAGGAAAGAAATCTAAAAGGAAAGTGAATATTATAATTATTTGTGCGTGTGTCATAAAAATTAACATTATAAAATGGGTGTTTCCCTCTCATCTATACGTATATATTCAGCACGATTAAACATTCAGGATTTTCAATTAGAGTACCCTTTTCGAGGACGAACGTGAAGTTAACATGCTTCTCCACTTATTATTACTTTATTAGAATAATTTTATTTTCCTTCTGACTTTTCACCATGCTATTCATTCTTAATTACTGCACCTACTAGAATCACAAATATATGTGAGGTTATGAAAGTTTTCCCTTCAAAAACCCAATTATTTTTTTGTATGGAGCTTGAAATTTGCATTCCTAGCTAGCAATATTATAATGGTTCAAATTAAAGGAAAAGGAAACACAAGAAATTAGGCGAGCTTTATGAAGTGTGTGTTTTGTATGGCTTTGAACATTCCTTTCTTTTTTATATTATTGTTTCTCTGCCAGTAGAGTTTTGGGACCCAAAGTGTAAGCTGCTTGGTGAGTGTACTGGGACATATCATATGATCCACCACAAGTCCCACGTTTGGTTCCTTTATGAGCGACCAAAGATGACTATCACCATAGGACCACCACAACCTCTTCTTTCCTCCCTCCGCTATATAACACCTTCCTTCTCTTCTCTCTCTTTTCATGCACTTCAATCAATCATCACCTCAAAAAAAATCCATCTAGCTTGCTCCTTTCGGATTGGAAAAGGGAGGGGAAAAAGCCCTAATAGTACTGTGTGTAAAGTGTTTGATCAGGAAGCAAAGAGAAAACCCACTTGGTTTACGCAAGAGATCAGACCAAGGAGGAGGATGAAGTTCATGGGAAGAGATCAAAGTATTGGAGTTTCTAAAAGAAGAGTTTTGGGAAAAAGAATGGGGTCTTTTCTCAAAGAAGGTAGGGGTAGGTTTTATATATTCAGAAGGTGTATTATATTACTTCTTTGCTCTCATGATTAGTTAGTATATATCTTGTAAACGAAGATGGAAGGGATGAAGTGGAAACCTAAGCCTGGGTTTTGTTTATCCTCCTCTTCTGGTTCTAGTTGTTTCACAAATGGGAGAATGGAAAGAAAAAGCAAAGAGTTATATGCATCTTTAACTTCATATCATAATTATTTTTTTTATCATTCTTTCTTTCCCTCTCTGATCTGATCAAAGAAGCTCGTTGGACAATTTGAAAGCTCTAATTAGATCATCTGTTAGACCTAGGTGATTGCGCGCGCGCGTGTCTGGGAAGTATTACAGAATTCAAAAGAGTTTTCTGTAATTAATCTGTATATATGTAATCATCCTGTGAAGAGAGCTGAGGGAGAAAGGTTATCTTCTTCTTGTTGTATTTGTTATTTTCATAAATTGGAAAAATGGAAAGAAAAGTTAACGATTGGTTGTGCACATATATAGTTTGTCTAGCTAGACTCACCTGTGGATAGTTATTAGATTTACACTCTCTCTCTCTCTCTCTCTCTCTCTCTGACAAAAGAAATTTTGCTAGTTGTGAATCTTCTGCTCCACAGTTGGTACTTGGGAGAGTGGATGTGGCTATATATCGTAGCTAGCTTTCCTTGTCTATCTGATCTTATCAAACAATATTCTCGATTCAATTCAGAAACTCCTCTCTCTCTCTCTATATATATACATATAGATATCTGTATATATATGATGAAGTTTTGGAAATTACTTTGAGCAAAACCATAAATTTAGCATGTGTTTGGGGGCAAAACTAAAAACTCCGTGTGTGTGTGTGTGTAACGTGGAGGAACAAGCTACTCTATCATTTTGGGTGGTTGGATCTTAAGACTTTGACATGGCAGCATGGTCCTTTCTCTATAACATTTTCTTTCAGGGAAAATTAGAAACAATAAAGTAGATTGCAAATGTAACTAATATTTTCTTAAAAAAAAAAAAGGGTCTCCTCATTTTCTTGCTTCAGGAAAAAGGAAGATTGAAACTGATATATAAACTGTGCTGCCCATGCTTTTCAAAACACTGAAACAGCTCAACAGAAGAAGAAAAATAAATGGCTTTTAGTTTGTTCCATGACTTTTTGCTCTTTGTGATCCTAACTTTCTGTTGAGTCTCACAGCTCACAAGTTTAAGCCAGTATATATACACACAGAGACAAACAAGTACGGAAAGGAAGCACTACTGAAAATTTACTATTGTATTACCCTAAAAATTGAATGCACATATTCCACATATATTGTTATCATAAAAAATGGCATTGCTTCAAAAGGGCCAATAATGATCATAAGCTGTAAAGTGAATGCTTGTCTATGAATATTAATTTATATATTACCTTCCCTTTATTCATCTTCATATGGTTAGGCCATATGTATAAATTTTCAAAATGAACACGTTTAGGAGATGAGATTGGAGTTCGTTATTATGAAACTAAAGTGAAGATGATGGGCGATGAATGTTAATTTTAATGACAATTAGATCTTAAATTATTTGCTAAACAATAAATTGTAAATATCAATTCAATTCAAATAGTTATAAATAAGGTAATCTTAGTGGCGAATATGAGAATTTTAGTTAATTTAACAAAATTTTTTGAGACTTAACTGATATTAAAGTTGATGAATTTTTGGAACATAATAACCGTTTCTCCAGTATAATGCTCAAAAAAATTTTCAGTGAAACTGGTAATAAGTCTTACACCCATTTAATTGAAACTTGTTTATGTTTGATTTATATCAAGGGAGAGGGGGGGGGGGGGAAAACCGAACCAGGCATTATATTGGTGAAGGTAGCAGTTCAAGGGTCAGTTGGTCAAATCGGGATCAACTTGAGGTCAAATTAGTCATATTAAAATAATTTAATTTAATTAAAAATAATAAAATATAATAATATTAATAATTACTAATAACAAAATATAAAAATATACAACAATAGTTTGATTGTAACAATAAAAAAATACAATAACATTGAGAATTTTAATCTTTATCGTTCCTTAATAACTCAAATTAATAATTATTAATACCAAAATCATCACTAAAATTCATTCAAATCAATAATGACTAAGATATTAGGAGTTGAATAAAAAAAATGATCAATAACATCATAATCATCCAAACTAATTTATCACCGGTTTGATACTAGTTCAGCATTCAAACCAGACTGAACCACTTAATTACATGTTCAGTCTGGTTTTTTTTTCCTTGATTTAAATATTTGAAATGTAATTTTACTCTATATATATCAACTAATTTTAAAATAGAATGTACTAATATGATATACAAATTAATCTAATCTTATCTTAAAAATAAAATTGTTGTCTTATGTGTCACACCGCATGTGAACTCTTTTGGATGTAATTTAAGTTATGGGAAAGGTTAATTTTTGCCTCAACCAATTAATAGAGGGAGCAATGATGAAAATAAAATGATTCGGACACATCATTTCATAGCAATGCTAGTGATGGCCATTTCAATTTTAAAAATTAATGTAGAAATTATAAGAAACTACTTGTGGACACAGGAATGCAAGAAACTATATTGAACTCCTCAAGAAACTGTTATTATATGAGTGCGACGGTGAGGGGATGGGTGAGATTGGAACTTTTGACAAGTGAGAATCATCACATTGTTTATTGCTCAAAGGGGATTGAAAAGGAGCTTATTATTTCATATTTATCAAGACATTGGTCATAAATGACCCTATAATATTCAAAAACCTCATTGTATCCCAATTAAAACAGATTTTTTCAATGGTCACCGTTATCAAATTCCGTGGCTCAATGGCTGCCCAATTTAGGAAATCGCAACTTGTTAATCTATATCTTGAAATTGGTAAAATAAATAGCAAATTTATTAATGCCATCTAAAGTTTAGGAATTGAATATTTTTACATCAAATAATATCATTGTTACTTACTAAACAAAAATTGTTCATAGTTAATGAACTACACTAAATAACGGTATGAAAGTTATGAATTGTTAATAACTAATGAAATATAATCAATACCTGTACAACCTTTATAAATTACCCAAAAGAATAGCCTTCTTACTTAGTGCAGTGAACGTTGTTAATAGCTATTAAAGTGTGGTCAATATATATACAAAAGTTGTGAATAATCTGAAAGAGTCACTTTATTATTTGTTGAGCAAAAGTTGTTAATGTCTATAAAATATAATTAATATTTATACAAAAATTGTGCATAAAATACTCAAAGTTAACACACGCATATATTATTTTGCATTATTTTAATATGAAAACATTTGTGTCTCAATGGTTACTCTGAATTTTTAATTTGTTCTTCACCATTTTGACAAAAAAAAAAAAAACTATAATTGCCTCTAGGGGTAAGAAACATTTTTCATATATAATAAAATTTAGGTGAATTAGATCCTAGAGCTCACTAGAACCAGGACATATGCCTTCGTTTCAGAGAATACTTACAGAAATACTTATAAATCATTTATCAACAATGTCTTCACATTAGTAGTGAAATTTGGTAAAAAAGTTTTTGCTTTTAATAATGAGAGGGGATTCCTTTTTTTTTTTTGGACTCAAATTTTAAATTTTTAAGGCTTTTGTACTCTCAAATTATGCATACCAGGTATCTATTTGGAATTTCATATTGTCAAAGGTGTTTTTAGTCATTTGCTCACAAATTAACCTGCAAAAAGATTGTAGTAGTAATTAATTGGAATGAGTTTGGATGGTCATCAATTATCTGGACGGTTTAGATTTATTTTTATTTTTTAAAAAATAATTATTTTAATAGGTATAGAATAAAAAATAAAGATAATCTCTTAACTATCATTCTTTCAAAAAAAATAATTTTTTCTATTTAAAAATATTAAAAATATTAAATTTGTACTAGATAAGAATTGCTCAAAGCGGTGGTGATGAGCAACCCTAATTAACTTAGATAAGACTCTTGCCGAAAATAAAGAATGTAAAACAATTTGAAAAGGAAATGAGGGCCAGTGATGGATCAGTCGCTCACCCTCACTGAACTGAACAGGAGCCTCCCTTCCTCTCTTTACCCTAATGCCAAGCCTTCACATTCCGATCCCTTCTCGTCTTGGCATTTGAGGTTCCTTCTTCTGCTCCTCTGTCATTCTCTATTCCTCTTTATGCTTCTGTAAAATTTCTTCATTTTAGCTTATTCCTCTCACAAATTCGCATTGGCAGGCACGACAATCATTAAATTTTCATCCCAATTCACAAACTTATCTTCGATCTCCATCTGTCATGCCCAAAGAGAAGAGCCCTGGACTGAAGATCCTATGGCTTTGGACCATCGGAACCGCCGCAAGTAGCCTCTCTAGTTCACATCACCTTTCGATTTTCTTCCTTTCTTGTGAGTAATCTCTGTTCGATTTGAAAAATTTTGCTTGCTCGTTTCTATGGCAGTTTTGATCACCAGTGTGGTAAGGACGAGACTAAGGGACCTTGAGAACGCCATGAACGCTGAACATCAACAACAAAACCATGGGGTGTCGCCTGGTTCGGCAATGGTGGACACACTCCCTTCTTCAGAAGAATCAAAGCCAGATGATAAAATCTAGGCGGGTCTTCAATCGACTTTCTCCTTCTTTGATTGATCTTGTGTTGATTTTCTGCTTGGAGGATGCGATTTTGTGCTGGCAAAGAGGGTACGCAAGGTGTTTGTTGAATGTCCTCTGTGACACTAGTTATATGAGAATAAAAGTTTAGGTTAATCCAAAACTCATATTTACATTTACATGTAACATGTAGAAATAATTAATTTAATTTCTTTATTTGAGATCCACTTGTAATTTTTTCCCTACTCTGTTTTCCGAAGTAAATTGGTCAGGTTTATTAATTGAACTGAAATTTTTCTTAAAGTTTTGTTCTTGGTTCTGCAGCCAATGCCGATTCAAATTATGCCTAGATCGCAGAACTAAGATAAAGGTTCATTTGGGTTTTCTTTATTTAACTGCTTATGAGCATGTTTCAGCAAGTCCTCTCACATATTTGTCTCACGATTAACAAGCTGAACAAATAAAAGTCTAATATGGCTGCTGATACTATTGCTAAGCAAAATCTTCAACAGAGGAAATAGATATTACCATCTCCTAATTTTAGTATAAGCAGAATTAGTTATATGTGACAAAGGTGTTTTAGTTCTCCTAAACTACTACTAGTATCTCTAATCATATGGGCGAAAATTATTTCTTAATTGGGAGTCACTTCATATGTGCAATTAATAAGGATGTTTTGGGCAAAAAAATTATAAATTTAAAAGAAAAAGTGAATTAAAATTTTATATTTAAATTAAAAATAAATCTATTATCTGACTCTTGTATTTAATATTTGAGGTAGGGATTTATCGGTGTCGCATTGGCTCTGCGTAAAATCGTGGCATTCGCTTATATTTTTCTAAGGAAATGATATTTTTTTGGGAGAATTATAATAAAATTCCAAACAAGAAAAACAATTAAAAAACAAGTCTCAGAAGTTGTCATTCTCACTATGAGATTTTTTATTATAGACTGTTAAAGTTATTAGGATTTTGTAGTAATCATTTCTTTTCTGTGAGATTTGATTGTCATCCTCTTTTTTTTTTTTCTAATTCCTCCTTCTTTTTTTTGTTAAAGCATAGCTATCTTCTTATTGGAGGCAATCATATTCGAGGCACTAAGGGGCACTAAATGTGGACACTTCTTCCAGTGAGGATTCGAACATTAGTTCGTCACGTTACGAAGAACTAGTCTCTTCCACTAAACCCAATCCCCGTTAGTCCTCCTTTTTTGTTATTAATGCAAGCGAAGGAAACGATGTTTTGAAGATTGGGTCTTCTGCTAAAAATAAAATAAAAATAAAACACTAGGCCCAATTCTCTGTGATGACATATTTTTGTTTAGGCCCAGTTCTTTCCTGATTATATGGACAAAAAGAATTTCCCCGAGCCGAAACTTTTCGAAAATCCTTTTCGTTTAAGCATCTTACTACACTTATAACTTTCAAATTTCAAGCTATTTTGGTGTGTCATTTTGAAAGACTTTCACGTTAAATTTAAAACAACATTTTCATTCAATAAAAATGAATTTGTTATAAGAATAGTGGAATTATAAATAATTTCATATGAGCAAAATAAAGCTTAGAGCGGAGAAATTAGGGAGAGTTATTCTGATTTCATTTTGATTGATGTGTCTGTGCAAGACTTTGAGGTAAGCATTTATTTATAAGCTTCTAGCCATTGAATACTAATACTGCAGTTGCATTATATTACCTCGATTCTAAATATAAGAGCTAGTTGACTAATTTGAAGAGATTAAAAAAATAAGTTAAGTTAGTTATTTCTAATAAATATATGTTGTTTTTCTTAAAATATCCTTACTAATCAAATTTATTAGCTAGAACTACAATTATTAAGAGGATTATTTTAGAAAAAAATACATAAATAATTATGACTAAAATAAAAGTCAAACGAGATTTTATATTAAGTATCAAAAGTAGTATATAATTATATATTTATGTTAACATCATTGTATACATTTTCAGATGTCACAGAATATTGGTGTATTTGCTACATGTGGATGTTCCTTATTTAATAAATTGATGTATTAAAGTACAAATCTATTCACGAAGCATTCGCAAATGCGCACTTAACACCATAATATTCATATAATTGCAAAAGTACTCATGAAGATTTTAAAAGGTGTGAAAATATCGTGATAGTTAATTTTTACAATATAAAGGAATGAGATAGCTCCCATTAAAAAGTAATGAATGTTTGCTTAAAAATATGGCTGCAGCAAATTTGTGCCCTTTAAGAAACTTTATGAGCATTTTTGCGCCTAAGTAACATTACAGTGTCAATGCACATTCGCAAATGCTTTATTAATAGATTTATGCCTTAACTCATTTGGATGGCATGAGAAGTGCTTCTGAAAAATACTTTTCTGCAAATCGAGATAAACTCCTTCATATATTTACTTCGTATACTATAAGATCACTTTTAAAACCATGGTTTGGCTTCCCTCTAAACACCCCTAAATCTAGATATCTACAAAATACAGTACTTTTTCTGTCTCAAATATAATATTTAATATTGAGAAGTTTATAATTTTTTGATAAACAAAAGCCTCTAATTTTAATTTTATCAATTTTTTAGTTTTCTATAATTACTTGATATATTTTATTAAAATTTATTAATTTCATTATAATTGGTTTGATCATCTTATGACCATTGAAAAGCAAATGCTTGAACTAATTAGAGTTTAGTTTATCGAACATTGGAAGCAAATTGTAGTGTTCTAGTCTTTTAGAACTTTAGCTCCCTTGAAGTGAGGCAAGTTCTAAAAATTAAACAAACCTAAATAACTACTTTTATAAAACTTGAATCTCTGTATATATTGTCAGTTTAATTTATCTGATTTTTAATATTTAGATTAAATAATTTTTATAACCTGAAAATAAAATCAAAAGATATCAATTATTTTACGCTTTTAAAAAATTATTCGCAGATAGTATGTTTCATATATACACACACACATTTTAAAAAAATATAAAGACATAGAAATATGCTGGTTGAAAAATTAAGGTGAATGTTTAAATTATACTGCCTTTGGTTCTAAATACAAGATAAATGTTTAAAGTAAATATTATATTTATGACTGGAAGTAGTATAAAATATGAAATCATATGTGAGATACAAACCCTAGAAAATTTGATGTCCTCCAACTAACATCAAAAATCACTATTATATATAAATCCAATAATAATTATTGGAGTAAATAACTTTTTCAAATAATTCATTTAAACAAACTAACACCTATAATATTCATAGACTGACAAGAAAAATATTCATAATAAACCAATAAAATGCTTATTTTAATTCTATTGTGAGGAATATAACACAAATTTAAATCTGGACAAAAAAAATTAAAAGGCAAACCCTTTAATACTAGATACCAGTGGTTTAACAAAGAAGAAGAAGAAGAAAAAGTTATTTTGAGCTTTTTACATAATCCATTAAAATTATTAAACATGTTATATGTATAATTGAAAATTTTAATTTTGTTGTTAAAATATCTATAACTTGAAATTTTTTAGCTGGGATAAAAAAAAAGAATTTTTTGTAAACACACTATTGAATATTTCCGTATTTATTTTATTGAAGTGAATATTCCATCTATTAGTATTTTTAATCGATAAAGAATAAAATTGTATAAAAATAACTTAATATTTATTAAAATTTATAAAAGACAAAATTTTGGAAAACTTATATCCCTTTCTGGGGGTGTGTTGAATCTCCTAAAAATAGCAATCCTGCTTGGTAATCATGACTATAAACTAATGCATAGCTTTTTTTAATGATGCTTGTGTTGGTAACACATATTGGCTTTTATATATAATTAGAAAAGGGTATCATTATCATCAACTTATTTATCAAATCTTTTTGTAATGTCCAACTCAATGATAAAGTGGTCTCTTCACACGCCAGGATGGGACATTGTCTGGTAATTTAACATTTTCTCGATTTGTGCGTGTCATCCTTGCGCAGGATCATGCTAATCTTCTCTGGGTCGTTCCAATTTTGTTGGATGTCCCCGAAGGGACAGTAATTTAACATTTTAAGTGGCTGTACTTGCATCCTTCCCCTGGGGTTTGGGATTCTTCTGAATTAGATGTACGTTTATATGTATGTGTGTATATATGGCTATTATTGCCATTTTAGTGTTTTCACTTTTTTTTTATTTAAACACACTCTTTTTTGGGAAAATGACACTAAAATACCACTTGAATTCCAAAAAGACATATAAGGGACCTGAATAAGCAAAATGACAAAAAAGGCATCAGGTACCAATCTGGAATTTTGATTTTTGGCCTAAAGACTGAATTGCCTTATTGTGTTTGCCTCCTCCCAGCGAAAGCAATTCCCCCCACTCGGCGAAAGAGAAACTGCCCCCACTTGGCGAAACCAATCCATCTACTCGGTGAAACTAATCCCTCCCCTCAGTGAAACCGAATCTCTCTACTCGATGAAACCAATCCCTCCACTCCACAAAACCGAACCCCCTCCAGTTGACGAAACTAAATCCTTCGCATCACCATTCTGTAGAGATTGTTGATTTGGTGGGTTTTGGTTGTGGGAAAGAGGATTTGTAGTGAGAGAGGGAGTGAACCGAAGCGGAAAGATGAAGCGGAAATCAGAAAACTAGCAAGCAATTACGTAACGTAACTGCTGTCATATGCCTGCTGGTTTTTGGTAAATCCCATTACGTGAATGGTAACTTTCACTATACATGTAGTTAATTATGAATTTTACAAAATACATATTGTGATTTACAACTTTTGTAGTGAAAGTGACTACTTTGTTAATGGGTTTTGCAACCTGTTTTCAGGAGATAAACAACTTGTTTGTAAAAACTAATAAAAGTGACAACTTTTGTAGTCACGTTGAATTAACTGGTTGCAAAAGCCATTTAAGAAGTGGTCATTTTCACTATAAAAGTTATAAATATCACTGTGTGTTTTGTAAAATTCAGCGTCAAATTTTATTGATTTTTAGAAACAAGTTGCTCATCCCTGAAAAGAGGTTGCAAAACTCATTTAAGAAGTGGTCATTTTCACTATAAAAGTTGTAAATATCACTGTGTGTTTTGTAAAATTCAGCGTCAAATTTTATTGATTTTTAGAAACAAGTTGCTCATCCCTGAAAAGAGGTTGCAAAACTCATTTAAGAAGTGGTCATTTTCACTATAAAAGTTGTAAATATCACTGTGTGTTTTGTAAAATTCAGCGTCAAATTTTATTGATTTTTAGAAACAAGTTGCTCATCCCCTGAAAAGAGGTTGCAAAACTCATTTAAGAAGTGGTCATTTTCACTATAAAAGTT